ACCAGGAAGATTTTCATACTTGGAGTTTCCTCATTTTATTCCAGTCCTAATCCAAAAGTAAATAACAAATTTTGAAGTGCCCTCTGGAATTAAAAATCAATTTTAGAAGCCTATTTTGATTTAATTGAAAGGTTTCAATAAAACAGCAGATCTGTGATGTTTTAATAAGCTCAGAACACCTTTTTTTCCTGTTTGCTTAAATAAAGAAAAGATTTATTTTATCAAAATCAATACACAGGGCATTTTGTTTTGCATAAAAGGGCAATCTCTGACACTGAAATGTTTGGTCACAACACTTTTGCTCGTCTCAGCGAAGGACAAGTGAGAAGACACAGGGCAGCACTTTCCAAGGCACTGGGAGGCTCTTGAGTCATGTCCCTGGCCCAAATGCTGCACTCCTCTGCCCTGGTTTGACAACCCCATAGATCAGTGGTCCTGTGCCCACAGCTGACTGTGCACACTGGGGTCACTCTTGGTGCCTTGGAACCAGATATCACAGAACACAGAATCATAAACATTGGAAGAGATCACCAAGATCACCTAGTCCAACCCCCAGCCCACTCTCACCATGCCCACTGCCCACGTCCCTCAGTGCCACATCCACACGGTTCTTCAACACCTCCAGGGACGGTGACTGCACCACCTCCCTGGGCAGCCTGTGCCACTGCCTCACTGCTCTTTCTGAGAAGTTTCTCCTAATACCCAACCTGAACCTTCCCTGGTGCAATTTGAAGCTATTCCTTATCATCCCATCACTGTTATCTGGGAGAACAGGTTGACCTCCACCTTATCACAGCCTCCTTTCAGGCAGCTGTAGAGAGCGATCAGGTCTCCCCTGAGCCTCCTCTTCTCCTGAACAACCCCAGCTCCCTCAGCTGCTCCCCACAAGACTTGTGCTCCAGAACCCTCACAGCTTCACTTGAGGGCTTCAGTGTCTTTCTTGCAGCAAGGGACCCAAAACTGAACAGAGTACTTAAGTTATGCCCTCATCAGTGCTAACATCATGAAAGGAAGGTATGTAATTAGGCTCTTCCTGTGTTTGTGGTTCTTACGATAGAGGGAAATGTTCCCTCCATATATTTATTAACATTCTGTGTTGAGGAAGCACATCTCCTTTACAGCCCAATACAAAACCTACTGCCTTCTGTTCTTACTGCATGAAAAAGACCCTTAAGCAAGGAGGACAAAAAAACTCCATGTACTGCAGATTTCCAATGACTTTTCCTAAAAGCCTCATGTACTTGGATGAACGTTTATCACACAGTTGCTTGTGCGTATGGTCTGGCTATGTGTCTCAGTGACAGCAGACAAGATTCAGCAATGTGTCCCCCCACTGTGGCTGCTGGGGACCCTCTCCTTCCATAGCCAGCCCACCCCCACCACTTCACAGAGTCTGGAAACCAACCACAGCAAAATAAAATTTGCTGCTTCGCAGAAAGGTAAGAACTCAATGCAGCGGAATAATTAGTAGGGATGATTAAAGGCAAAGATTATGCATTAGCAAAGGAAGATAAGCATTTAATTTCTAGCCTTATTGCATTTCAGACTAGAATATTGGTTCCAAAGGTTGCTGCAGACATATTTGCCTTTCTATATATGTATGTGCATAATATACATATGTACGATTACAATCTCCTGCCTTGCATTAATAATACATTTAATTGCTTTCTGGCCCCACCTCAATCTGCCTACATTCATTTCACAGAGAAGAGATTATTTGCTGTTAGCCTTTAGCAAATAAATTGTCTGCCATCCTTAACACGGGTAATAAAAGGCACTGCATCAGCCTGCTCGCAGTTCTGTGCATTGCATCTGCTTCCATACAAAGTATAGATGACAGCTGTTTTGCTTGTGCCATCACCAGCAAATTGAGTAAGTGTGCAATGTAAAATGTAAACCTGATGGATTTGCTGAGAGTCATACTCAGCGTCTTCCATCACTGTTGTTGTGACAGTAAATAAATATTTGGGTATGGTATTTGCATTACATATTACATCTACATGCTATCTTTTTTAATGCCATACATTATAATGCATAATAAATATACAGGTGCAATACTCTGAGCAACTCACATATTTGCATATATGCATACTTAGACACAACAGCACCCCTGCATGCAGGAAATACACCCATACATCCAAACTATGGCTATACTTAGTGCTGTCTACAGCAACAGACATTTACCTCAAGTATTACACAACTGAACACACATTGAGCTGGAAAGGGGAGAAGACACATGAAAAGAAAGGGAGATCGATGTCCAGGTCATGCTTTTCCATCTGAGCAGGAGCTCCTGGTGTGACATTTGTCCTCAGGGGAGGAGGCAGGATAGGGGGAACACTGAATCCTTTCCCCTATTGCTTTCACATGGGGACTGTTGGGACATCAAAGTTCCACAGTGGTGTGAGTGCAATGGCCAGAGAAATCCCAGGACATCAGGCGTGAGGTTGCAAAGATGAGAATTTAGAAGTAATCTAGTATGAGGAAGGAGCTACTGAAGATACCATCATCTCCTCCATGAAGTGCACACTGCACATCCGGGCTTATATTTGCTCTAAATGGCTATAATCATCTTTGGTAGAAGAATAAAGGACACTGCAGCTCCCAAACTGCTTTTATTTCCCTCCCTCTTTTTTTCCTTTTTTTTTAAATCAGGAGTAAGGGGTAGCAGTTGACAATTTTTTCTCTGATAAACATCAGACACGTTCCACATTCTACTTAGCAGTAAATAAGGACAATGCTGACAAATGTCAATGTGCAAATTTTGCCATCGCCTCCTTTTGTACTTGTTTTGTTCAGCTCTCTATTGAGTGAGTAGCCAGAAAGGGCATGAAACAGCAAGAGCTGGGACATGGTGTACTGGAAAACAAACACATGGCAGAGAAAATTGATGAAGAAGAGGAAGAAGAAGGAAGAAAAAAAGGTATTTCAGCATGTCCTTGCCCTTTAAGATTGTTGGCATGAATACTGTGGATGCCAGAAGCTGTGCAGATTCGGAAAGCAACATGACAAGTTCAAGAAAGAAGAATCTCTCAAGTGCTGGTATTCACATGGACATCACCAAACCATCAGGTGGGATTGCCCTGAGAAAGACTCACTGCACACCTGCACTTTTCTCACACCGTACTAGGGATCTGCAGCTGGCCTGGACTATGTGTGTTCCTCCTTTGGCGTCTCTAGATGCCATTTCGTTGTGCAGATTGATGAGTCTTAACAAAAACATTTCATTAAAACCTTCTGGCAGCTCTCTGTTCCTGTAGCTCTGGGCTGAGAAATACAAACGCTGCAATGAACCCTGAGCTCAGCTGAACTCACATGTCCATAAAAATAGCAACCCCATAGCTGTGTGCTCAGACCACTGCCTTGTAGCAGCAAGGAAACTGATTTTAATGTCAGAGGTGCAAATTAAACCAGACAGGAACAAACTGTGAACTATAAAGCATGCAAGTGAATCTCCTAAACATCCCATTGTGTAAGGAAAGAGCAGACAGGCCCTGTGGGCTGGGCTGCTTTGGAGATCCCTTGGCCAGTGAGATCCCAGTGGCCAGTGCCTCACCGTTCCCTGCACTCTGCTGGCAGATGGGCTTTAGCTTCTTGTCTTTCAAGAAAAGCATTGTTGGTTTCTGTTAGAGGAAGAATCTAGGTGACACTCTGCCCTGAGCCCAGTATGTGGATGCCAGCATGAGGCTCCTGGTGCTGTCCTTCCCCAACCCATGATGCATCCTGAGTGCAGGCCCCAGGGCTGTGCATATCCTCAGCCTTTCCATTTATTTCTAACAACATCAGGGGTTGCCTCTGTATGTAAATCATTCTGATTATTGCCATTTTATTGCAGCACCATCTGCTTGCATTGTGCTTTGCGGCCGTAAGGGTGGTGCTGCCACAGCTGTGTGTATGGATGTTTAGTTGTTCTGTGGGGGCCAGGGAGCCCGACCTCTCTGCAGGCAGAAGCCCCACTGGGGGGCTTTCACCTGATGTAGGACAGGGCCCATTGTACCCAACACCCTATTAGGCAAGCAGACCCAGTGTAGATGTTTTGGGGTGCCAAACTGAGACATGTCACATACCAAGACAGAGAACCTTCCCATTCAATGCCTGATAAATTATGTTAGTGGACACATCTCAAGGATTTGGCAGGACAGGGGCTGTAGCAGGCAAAGCACCAAGTGTGCAGGAAAGGGAGGTGTGAGGGGAGAAAGAAATAAATCTGTTAAAAGATCGAGGCATTGTATATGCAGCAGAAATAATATTTCAGACCTGCAGTAACACATAACTTTAAACTGAACACAGTGTTTGGGATTCTAATGTATCCAGATGTCATATTTCTGCTATATTTGCTTTGTGTTGAAGGAACGCGGTCTGAGAGCCCAAGCCAAATCTTCAGGTTTATAAAACAAAAGGGTGTTGTTGTTTTTTTCTTTATTTCAACTAAATATCACATCCGCTGCTTAGTTTAAACATTCTTGCTGGGCCTAGCAGTAGAAACACAGCCGTGTTTTCTGATCCACGAGGACAAAGTGACAAAGGCAACTGTGTGGCACAGCTGGCAAAAAGAAGCAGTTATCCCAGTGCAGCCCTGCCACCGGCCATCCGCACCCTTGTCAGGAACAGGGAAAAGGACATGAGGTGGTTGAACGGCTTTAGCTTATCCTTGGTCTTTGATAGTGCTTTGTGTATCTCAAAATGTAGCCTCCTTGCAGAAGAAGTTCAGCTTAGTGATGGGTTGCAGAGCCCTGGCCGGGCCTGGTGTTTGTCAGCGAGAGGAGGAAGGCCAAGTTTCCCATCTGCGTATTTAACAGTGATTATTTGTGGTGTTTTGAAGAGATTCTAAAGATACTTTTTAAAAAATGTTTTCTCCCTTGTCTGAAGTCTTTGAAAACTTTGAAGTTGGTCCCATCCTCAAGGAATGGGGCCTGGCTGACAGCAGGACGGGAGCTAGGGAAGGGAAGGGAAGGGAAGGGAAGGGAAGGGAAGGGAAGGGAAGGGAAGGGAAGGGAAGGGAAGGGAAGGGAAGGGAGCCCTGCTGTTGGATAGGATAGCCTGTAGCTGCTTGCCATGCCATGCCTCAGACCTGAGGCCTACAGCGGGGAGATGGGCAGGAGGGGGGATCGCTGCGATGGCAGCACTCTGCAGCCAGTTCCTAATGAATCCTGTGTGCACTGGTGGAACAGTGAGGGGGAGAGCTGCTGAGGGAGGAAGGCTCAGCGGGAGCAGGTGGTGGGAGCGTTGCCTGCGGGGCTGCCAGCTCCTCAGTTCACGAGCAGATGGCACAGGGAGGGCAGAGCGAGCAAGGTTTGGCTGTATCTTAACATCCACTGTCAGGGGGACGTACAAAAAGCACTACAGAACTGAACCAAGGTGAATGCCACGTGCTGTAATTTTCCCTTGGGTGCATTTCCTTGAGTTGTCACATCAGGTACAGTGCAGGCTCCAGCTCTGTGTACACCACCAGGCGAGATGAGCCCTACGCTCCTCATAAGTTTGCCTGCCAATAAGCAGTGGGATGCTCGTTACACAACGCTGCAGTTTTTTGAGCAGGAGACTGGTGCTCAAACCCACCCATCACTGGGCCCTGCACACCTCTCTTGTTGTCTATGGGCTAATATTTTCCACTCGGTGCACCCATAATAAACACAGTGTGCAGGCCCAGCTGGACAGCCAGATCCTCCACAGCAGGATGTCCTGCTGCAAATATTTGGGGAGGTGTGTTTCGCTTTGAAATGCCTGGTGTGAGACTGGCCTGGGGCTGGCTGCATCCTCAGTGCCTCAAGTAGATACAGTAGAGCTGCAGGCACAAAACTGGCAAAAAGCTCAGCTGGGATTATGGCAGTCATAGTTTTGTATGTCCCTTTTAAATATATGCTGGGGAAGCAAAATCTACAATGGGGGAGGAACATTTGTAGAAATAAAGCTAATTGCCTGGTGAGGTGGTGGCTTAGGGAAAGGGAAGGGGAAGGAATGGAAGGAAAGGGAAAGGAAAAGGAGGAAATTCTGCCTCTACCAGCAGCAGGTCCCAGAATTGTGGAACAGCCACAAATCCTGAGGAAAATGGTGTCACAAGATACTCCCTCTTAGTCCAGAAGAAAACATCCATGTACTAAACTATACCACACCCATGGATGTGATTCTGAGGATTTTATTGAATGGCAAGGCAGCAGCTTCCCTGTGTTTCCTACAGAGCTTGGTGAACCTGCCACAAATGCAGGATGTGGCACAGCAAGATGGAATTTACATATTGAAAATTCAATTTCAAAGGGTTAAAATATGTGCTCATTAGCACGTGAGCCTGATGGACAAGTTTGTTTAATGCAGTAGTCTACAACGCTCTGGAAAATGCTAAGGATAGGTCTCACTGCACTTAAAAATATTCTTAAAGGTGTGTGTGTGTGTGTGTGTGTGTGTGGCCCTGGGCAAACTGGTCTAGTATTAAATGGGGAGGTTGATGGCCCTGCCTGTGGTAGGGCAGTCGGAGATTCATGATTCTTGAGGTCCTTTCCAACCTGGGCCATTCTGTGATTCTGTGCTAAGAAGTTTTGCTGAGTCAAACCTGAGGAAAGGACTTTGTAATGCTGTGGTCAGCATGTTATGTGTACATGGGGAGAGCTGTCAAAACTTAGGAAGATAAATTGCTTATAGGTTCAAAAAGCATGCCTTCCATTTATATTTTCATATATAAAACAGTGTCATAGCAGCAATAGTTAAGTGATAAAGCTGTGGTTCAAGGCAGCTCAGCAAGAACGAACAAATCTTCATAATTGACAAGCTGTAATAATAATAAATACATGAAGAGTTTATTTCTCCCTCTATCCTGATGAAAAATGATTACATGGGAATCCTTACCAGCAGCTGGGCCTCTTCTAAATGACTACCAAGCCAATCCGCTCTGCAATCTCTGCCAGCTCCAGCATCTCAGTAATTAAAAAGGTTGTCGCTAATACTAGAGAGGACAGATGCTTCCCCTAGGAAGTCCTGTCTTCAATTCCTCTGATATCACAGCTATGCTGTGGCCTGATGTGCTTTGATTGCTACTACAACCACCTGATATGTTATCAGTACTCAATAAACACCATGGTCATGTTGAGGTGAGATATAAGATATGCAATAAGAATGCACCCTCTGTTTCATTTTTGTGCTTACAAGATGCTTACTGTACCACAGCATCCCAAAAGGCAGCATGTTTGCTGCTGTTCCAAATTTGTGTTTTACCCTGAGAAATGAGGTCACTGCTATTTGCTGTATTAAAAATACCTACAGGAATGTGGCAGGTCACTAAAGGGTGTTGGCAACAAAACTGCAAGCACTTTGCTACCTTTAAAGGGAGTCTTCCATTCTAAACATACGATTTATGACCATACATTATTCTGGATTAGCACAGAAGATAAACAGAGTTGCTGGCTCTGGTCTCAGCAAAGCTCAGTCCTCATGAAGCTGATACACAGCAGCACATTAGTGCCATTGACATCGCTCTCTGCTTGGCTGAGCTATTTGTGACTCCGATCTTTTCATCCATGCACAGTGCCTGAAGGATAACAGTGGCCTATCTGCTCTCCTTCTTGGAGAAATGCAAGTACCTTCAAATTTAAACTGTCAGAAGTCAACCACAGGGTGGCTGGCTCATTGAGCTAGAGCAACTCAGGCGCATAAGAAGCCAGTGTGGCTCACACTGCCTTCAGCCACCTCCGACCCCTGGAGCCAGATGTGCACTGATAGGTAGATGGGGGAAAGGCAAGGAGGAAATGAAGCAGGGCAGTCACTGGCTCAACTTCGGACCCATAAAATGTGCATAATTTGTGTTGCCTCTCTCAACTTTTAGGTGAAACTTTAAATGTGCTTGCGTCCTTCCTAAAGCAATGAGGGACTGGGTGAGGCAGGAATATCCTCATTTCCCTTTCCTTGTCCAAATATCCTTTGCCCCAAGGGGCTGCACAATGCCTGTCTGCAAGGACAGCTGGATAACGTCCACATACAGCGCTGTGGGGAGCATTTCCAAAAGCAGCCGAGTGACATAGGTGCTAGTATCATCTTGCAAGACTCATGCTCCTTTGAAATCCTCCGCTCCGCGTGACCAAAGGCCTTTAAATATTTTTAAAGCCACTCCAGAGGCACATCAATATTTGGGTAGAGTCAGCCACGTTTTAGACAAATAAAACTGCTTACAGGGACTCTCAGAAATGCCAGAGATCAGTGCAGGGTGATGTCTCCCCTGAAGGCTGTTTGTTTGATCTAGTTGATGTTCCAACCCCTCTTGCCTCCTCCCCATGGGCCCCTGCAGTTAAAGCAGTAGCATGAGCTTTGGATGCATGTCAGGGCATTTGAATGTTCCCAGTCAGCTTCTTCTTTCTGAAACTTGCTCAGGCAGCTGCTGCACCAAGGCCTCCCCATTCACAGGCTCAGGACAAACGAATCCCTACCTTCACTCTCTTTAGAGAATCGCCTCCTCCTACTATTACGTTGTCTGGTACTATGATTTTTTTCTTCTTGTGCAGACAGCAGTATTAAGCCTGCCAGAGAATGAATGAATATCAATAAGACAGAACATAAATGGAATATGGAGCATTTCTTCCTAAAGTTCTAATGAAAGTGCCTACAGGGAGGCAGAACACACAGCAGATCACATACATGCACACATCATTTTGGGGAATCATCTACTTTCACTGAAAAATACCCCCTATGTAGGCAATTTCCTAAACATCCATTCAAATTAATGTTGTATATATTCTCTAGCAATTGTATATAGTAACTGACTCCTCTCTCTTAGAAATGAAGTTGTAGCCAGAGCCCTGGGAGGGAGACCTGTTTCTAGTGGAGGACAGAGAAAGAGAGACCATGTCTGTCCTGTAATCCACCAGATTGTCCCTCCCAAATTTTCTGCTTTCACTCCATGTGGCTTTCTTCTCTGAGCTTCCCCCCAACGAGAGCATACAGAGCATTGACTCCAGAGGCTTCCATTTCCTGAAATGCCATTGGCAAAACACAATGCTCATTCTTATAGGCAAACAACTGCCAGACCCGTGAGGTCCAGGGCTGTTCCTGGGTCTCCTCCTGCATCTCTGCCTCTCGCTTCTCCCTGAGCATCTTCCTCAGTGCCCAAGCTGCTGCTATCCCTATTTGTTCTGCACAACCAATCATAGAACAGCTACAGGCTGCCAAGTTTTTGCAGAAAATCCATCCTTACAGCTAAGGGATGCCAGTTGATGAGTGCTTGGTATGTAAGTGCCTTCTTTTCTCCAGCTATCGTGACAGCTCTTTTTTTGGGGTGCATCCCTCAGAGCAGACAGCAGTGAAATTTTTGCTTCTGTCATGACTGAAGACCTTGTCTTCCCTTCATCTTCACGCTATAGTCTGTAATCACATGAGCACCAAGCATAATGTTTGGGTTTTTTGGTTTTTTTTTTTGCTACAATAAAAAACTCAATGCTGCCCTCTGCCAGAAATGCTGTAGTACTGGTTTTGAACTGCTTTTTCTTAATCCACAAGTGCTGCACCTTTCTTCTGTGGGCACTGCTCTTACCCACCAAAACCCCCCACCACATTTGAGTTGCCAATAAGGTCAAGGAAGCTATCTCCTTGCTTTCCATAGCATATTCTATGTGCTCAGCTTGTGGCAGTGATGGAGAATGCATGCCAGCCACCTGGCTATTTACAGTGACTGCAAACTAAAGGAAGGCCTAATGAAAAGAAGACATATTGCTACCCAGGTATAAAAAGAGAAATAGTGCTGTTACTGCCTGTGCTTACTGCACTTTAAGTGGGAGAATATGTGGCACTTCTTTAAGCTCTCATTAAGCTGCCATGCAGGATGACTTGCCGTCTCACCAAGCCCAATCTTGTGTGTCTGGGGCAAGGCTATGGTGCTGCCCAGACCTCTGCCCAAGGTTGGGTTCAACACAACAGCAGAACCTATTTCCCATAAAGAAAGAAAATACACTTCTTAGTAACGTGGCTGCCAATACATAGAATCATTAATATTGGAAAGAACTTTAAGATCACCTTAGTCCTACTGCCAACCCACCCCCACCATGCCCACTGAGCACGTCCCTCAGTGCCACATCCACACAGTTCTTGAGCACCTCCAAGGACAGTGACTGCACCACCTCCCTGGGCAGCCTGTGCCACTGCCTCACTGCTCTTTCTGAGAAGAAATTCTTCCTATTATCCAGCCTGAACATCCCCTGGTGCAATCTGAGGCCATTTCCTCCGACCCTATCACTGTTACCTGGGAGAAGAAGCCAATCCCACCTCAGCACAGCCTCCTTTCAGGCAGCTGTAGAGAGCAATCAGGATTCCCCTGAGCCTCCTCTTCTTCAGACTGAACAATCCCAGCTCCCTCAGCCCTCCCCATCAGACTTGTGCTCCAGACCCCTCACAGCTTCATTGCCCATCTCTGGACACACTCCAGGGCCTCAAAGACTGTTGCAGTGAGTGGCAAACAAACCAAGACACCCAGCATGGTCCCAGCACAGTGCCATCACAGGGATGGGATCAGATTAATTAATTATTCAAGTGAGGCCATAGACTGCAGTTGTATGGATTTTGAGAACTCATGAGTGATATACACACACGGGGCACCCCACAGCTCCCCTGTGCACTTCTCTCCATCACTTTGTCCCACGGGCAGATGAGATTTCTCTGCACCCCAGTGATGGCTAGGAAGGGGCTGGAGAGGGGCATGAACACCTGACCTCCATTCTTCCACCTCCCTAAAAAGCCCCTACAAGGCCACCCCCTCAATCCAGATGTCCTTGGGAAGGTGCAGAGGTCTTGGAAAGATATTCCCCAGTGCTGACTAAAGGTTTAACTCGGCTTCATGGTGAGTCACGGAAACTACAGAAAGGCAACTCACCAGGGAAATCAAAAGGAGTAATTAAGAGAACACAGTAATTAAAGATGTATCCTAAGAGATCCTGTACGTGACATCCACGCCAGGCAGGGGAGCTTGCTAGGCATGAGTGCTTTCCTTGCCCACTCTGGACTGCAGGAGCTGGGGAGAGATGCAGTCACAAAGTTGCCATGGCTACAGATGCACAAACCTGGGAGCTGGGATCGGCCCTGCCCCGTGCTGCCCAGAGCTCAGCTCCCAGCTGCAGCTGTGTGACTGAGCTGTGCAGTGTAAAAACAAAGAACACCTGAAAGTCTTAACATCTTCAAGGATAGAAAAGTAGACAGACTTGAGGAGATGTTTTAATACATGCAAACCGTACAGTGTGTGGGAAGGAATATACATCATGTTATTGAACTGTAAATGGGGGCACTCGTTTTGCAGTCCTCATTCTGTGGCCATTCTGTGGCCAAAACTTCTGCTTAGCTTTACTTGTCTCTTTACTTGTTTACCTTCTCTCCTACAGGTACCTGCATTCAGCCAGCAGAGATGTGCTAGAAGTAAAATTGTGTGTATGTGTACTATGAGAGAGTTATAACACAGGATGGAGTTCTAACACTTGGAGTTCTACCACAGCAAGCCCTCCATACTAATCACTGCATGCTAGCAGAGCATATTAACAGTGCATTAGAATCCATCAAAAGCTGATTTCCTTTGCGTACAAGGTGCCAGACCCAAAAGTATGTGGTCTGATCAGAATTGAAACGATGGCTGCACAATAACCACTTGAATATACTTTCCATGCTATTTGCTGACATAAATCCTAGTGCTAAAAGCATAAGAAACTGCCAAGGGTTTTAACATCATGGTGCTTATTGCACAAAGTAAGAAAACTGGATTTCACTGTCTGAATGCTTTCCCAAGGGCATGCTGAGACACAGACAAGTTTTAGGATGGCAGTAGTAGAACCCAACCTTACTTTTCAGGTCTGTGGACAGATCTGTTTGCTGGGCCTATAAGAACAAACATCTGACCTATGAGTAAGACCAGAGCTGGGTCCTGTCTCTGGCTCTGAGGCTCCCATCACCATCCTCTTACCAGACACCAAGGACACAATGGAGCAATGCTGCTTTTGTGGCAGTGGGGGCTATTTCCCCCTCCTCCCACATATATGCATGTGGGACAGAACATGATGTGTTCCTTGCAGAGCTGTGGCCCTCCTGATGTATGTGGGTGCAGTGTGTTGCAGGCAGACTGCAGGGAGGTGCGGCAGAGCTGATCCTGGCGAGAAGAGGGAACTAAATGGCAGCTCCTTCTGCTCAAATACGGGAGCATTTTTTTCCTTTTCAAAACACAGGTGTTTAATTCCTACATGTGGTATGAAAGGTAAAACAATTTTTCTTGGCAGCACCAGAAATGCCTGCTATGCAGGTGATAATGGATCGTAACACAGAACAAGCCCAGCTTCCACGACTGCTCTGAGTGTCAGCAAACCTGCTACAATTAGGGGGTTGTAGGCAGTGAATGTTCTGGCAGCATCTGGCTGGAAAGCATTTTAACTGCTGGGCTGGCCCCAGCACTAGCATCACATGAGCCCAAATTAGCGAAGCAGACGTTGTCCTCCCATAAGTGATCACACTTTAGCCATGACACGCTGCTAGATTTCTCCATGAGCAAGCCCTGTTCAGCCATGCACAGCATGCCTTGTTCCATAGGGGACAACCCACACTGCAATGTGGCAACTAAAATGGGTGCTAAAAGCTTAACTCACCCACTGGGCTTTTCACTCTGAAAAACGAGGTTTCACAACCAGCCATATCCCAAAGCCTGAATGTTTCTGAGCAGCTTCTTTTCTCTGGCTACCCAGGCATTTAATTGCACGGTGCATCAAGCTCAGAGCCTGCAGTCCTTGCATAGGTTTTGATGCTTCCATCAGCCCCACTGCCTTGCCTAATTGAGATGCAGCTTTTCCCTTGAATTGTTGGCATATCAGCAGGGGGCATCACTGCCTGTGGCTGCCTGCTCTCAGAGAGCTGTCTGGGATTATGTTCCTCTAAGAAAACCTGTGCCCATGAACCCATTGAGTGGCTACTGGAGCATGAAGCCCACTCCTCTGGGTAAACCTAATAGGAATTAACAGCCCAAGTGTGACAGCTACAGCTGAGAGAATGGCACCATAACCATCTTGTTAGATATACTCGCTATTTGAAAACATGATCTATGGCATAAACGTGTCCATAAAGCTCCCTTCAGCAGAGTTAGGATGTTTATAGCTCAGATGAGTTTTGTGTGCAGCTTCTTTTCTACACTAAATATCATTATGTCTCATAACTGAGGACTGAAGAAGAGCAATATAGTCTTCTGCAAGTTAGATTAGAAGATAGTAACACATCTCAAGGTTTACACCCAAGAGAGTGATTGCAGTTTTCCATTTAAAACACTGAGATTTTGAAAAGGGATGAAATCCATTCACCTTTGAATTTTCAAAATGTATTAGCACTCAGTGTCTCTCCTCTGGGTAGATTCTCTTCTGTAGATCTTTAACTTTGGAACTAATTAAGGCATCTTCAAACATGACCTTCAGCAACACTCTGCCATGGGCTTGGGCTTGGGCTCTGGGTACAGCTCATCCACATGCAGGGGGATCTATGTGACACTAACATCCTAAAAATGGGACTAACGTGGGCTCTTTGCACACTCTGGTTGTAAAGACGAGTGAATTTAAACTCAAAGCTGGAATTCATCTTTGACCCAAACTGAGATTTTAATGCCTTGGCTTTGCTTACTGAAGATTTCTATTAAGGCTGTGGGACAAAAAAATGCTAATCCAATACTTTTCATCTTTTTGGAGTCCGTTCGGAACATCTCATTCCCCAGCTATACTCTGGGGTCATTCTGGGCAGAAGGATGCTCTGCAAAGCAGACTGAACAAGTGGCCCCATGTGTCTGTAAACAGCAGCGTATTTAGCGAGGAGCCACTACGGAAGAGCTGGAATTATTTCTGTTGTGTTGCCTTCTCTATGGAGCCACTCAATCATTCACTCCAAGAAGGAGCACAGGAGAAAAGCCCCTGCCGTGATGTCAGGTCTGCATCACATGGGAGAAAAGGGCATCTCTCAGACTGGAATACAGCTGGGAGCACCAGCATCATTGAGGGAGCAGCATTGGAAAAAAAGCCCTCAGGCCTCCTTACCTGGTGTGCTTTCCAAGAAAGGAGCCAGCACCATCTGACTTAGGAAGAGATACAAGAAAGCCCATACTGATGCTATGAAGGTTAGTTCTGTCAGGCTGTGAGCTTTTGAACACTTAAAATGTTATGTTGCTGGTGAACTCTTGACTGTGCTAACTTTCCATATGGCAGTGACCTCTTTCAGGCTGATAATAAAGAAAGCCAATGATCAACCTACAATTGCAAAGAGTTTTTGCACGTGTAAATCAAGCACAAAGGAAAGAATCCACTTCCCATGTGTCAGTCTGCGTGTTTACTGCACGGTATATGTCCCACACCAAGAATTACTCATTCCAGGCAGCATTCATGCCCACAAAGCACAGCAATTGGCATTGCACTTTCTAAAGAAGTCCAGAGCACTTCACCTTGCACAGTTACAGAATCACAGAATCATAGAATCCCCAGTTGGAAGAACCCATAAGGATCATCAAATCCAACGATCCACATGCTTTCTGCCAAGCTCACCTGTGCAGAACTGCTTTAGATGAAACCTATGAGATGTCACACCAGCTGTCAGGTCTGACTTTAATGAGAGCATTCCTTTACAAGATGCATAATTTTTGCATGTAGAAAAAGGATTAAAGATGTTTCACCACTGGGTGCAACTGCCTAAGCTCACTGCTGTGCCAGTGCGCAGATGTTCTTTTGATGCAACCTTTTTCTACTCCACACAACAGGTTAGTTAGGTTCTCTGTGAAGAAAACGGAGAGATACCCAGTGGGGGCCTGAAGTACTGTGTGTTTGTTGTCATCCACCTCGCTCATCAGAGTATCGCATGAGCCAACGTGTCTGTGAGTTGTTTTTATCATCATCTGATGCAGTTGCTGGCTGTAGAAAATCAAAGAATCAAGGAGAGAGGGCAGATTTGAAATCCACAATTGAAATCCAAACGCCACAACAGGAAGAGCTTAATTTTCTAGATCATTTCAGGCGTGAAGCAGAAGGTGACCCCACAGAAATCATTTAAATAACATAAATGAGATGGGATGTGGCATCTGGTAAGTGAGGGAGAAGGGAGAAGGTAGCCCTCCTTCCCTGGGGGCTCCAGCTGCTTCATCTGGAGACGATTTTTCCATCAGTGCAAAGTGCAGGATGGGAAGGCTGGGCTTTGTCAGGAGAATGCTGCTGTCTAAAAGCTGCCCTCCCATGAAATTAACATGAGGAGATGAACACCGTGCCCCAAATACATGGATAAAAATGCCCCCGAAATGGGCATGCTTCTGAGTCAGCATTAGCTGGACAGGCAGGACAGCCAGCTCCACCACTCCCGAACAGCCTGGTCCCCAGAGAGGACACAAAGTGCAGACAGAGAATTTGCCTCGTGGTTAAAGAAAGGTAACAAAATTTAAGCTATGGATTGTATGCTGGGAAAAGGTTCACATCATGTGAAAAGTATTGTCACAGCTCAGTCATCAGGTGAAGCAGGAATGGTAATCTATGTACAGATCTCAAACCTTTTCTATGGAGGTATGAGATATAAAACTGCTTTTCTTACTCCTAAAATAACATCCTAAAAAGAGGACACATGCTCTCAAACTATTAATGAATGAAGCTCTGCTGAAGGCATTCAGGAGACCTGCAACAGAAACATTCTTAAAAGACAAAAAGGAAATTCTCTCCTGTGAGTTGGCTTAGCACCAATGTCAGCAGTCACTGACTTCAGACAGCTGACATGAAGGAGATGGTTGAAGAGAGTCGCCAAAGGACTGCTCAGCTCAGTGGATTTCAGATGTCAGCAGCTTAAACTCTAGCACACGAACTAGTTTCAAACCCAGTGACATGGCCACCTGTTCAAATTAGGCATCCTGAAACACATTCTAGCCTCAAGCAATAAATATTTCCCTGAGAAGTACAGATGGATACTTAGGAGCCACAGCACAGGCACAAAAAAAATGTAAGGCAAATATTCTACTCACCACAAGTTGGCAGAAAGAACTGTTAGAAATCCTATCCCTAAAGAGCTCAAGGATAAAAGAAAGAAATGCTCGGGAACAAGACATGGAACGTTTGAAAGTAGAGGACGTCACATCAGTATTTGCCATCAACAGCCTGATGAGCTTTTTGATCATGTTACAAACACACACAGAAATAAAGGAAGCTACTCCTTAGTGAACACTTCGTTTTGTTATTTTATTAAAGAACAAATGATACTTCAATTCACCACTGGCTAAAGTTGTTAGTTTTGACAAGCAGTGGGTTACCCCCGTGGTAGTGAAGCCCAGCTGACATGTCACCTTGGCACTTTTAGCCACGTAAATACTGTTTACATACCACAGTAATGGTATTTCATTTAGTTTGCAAAATCAGGTGCTTGAGGTTTGGTGAGACACAGCTGCAGCCTTAATTCAACCCCCTGTGTGTGGAGAAAGGAATCAGTTTGTATGTATGAGCAGCTTATAGGAAGTGGGAGGCGGAATGGATAAATGGACAAAGATAACCACAACAAGAACTGTTAAATTATACTTCCTCATACTTCCCCCCTAGATCTGACACCACGTTTGCATGGGATTCAAGCCTACCTCCTCCCATTTCCTACCGCAGTTCTCCACCTCAGAGTTAGCCATATCCCAGTGTTGTTATTTACAGCAGGCAGATTACAGAGCACCAGAAATAGCAAAGCATCATCCATTCAGTCGCTGAGCGATGTGAGGTACTAAGAATGATGAATCCTTCCTACCCAGACAAGAAATGATTGATTTGAATAATTGCCTGAGAATATTCACATGACACTCAAACACAGTCGCTGTCATGATTACCAATGTCTCTGTTCCTCACAGTGAGTCTATAATTGGCATAAGCGTCTCAGATAATTTATACAGCAACACGATTTTCACACTTTCCCAGTTCTGGATAGTTGCTAATATTTCATGTGACAGTCACTTTATCATACAAAGGGAGCTTTCACAAGCTTTTGGCACATCTATTGATGCCGACTGTCACTAAATTTCTCCATTTCCCTGTCTTTTTTATTCATTGTCACTAGTAACTACCTATTCCTTCTTTGTGTCGCGGAGAATAGACATGGTATTAGGTCAGCACAAGTCTTCTCCTTTATTTAAGAGAAAGACCTATTTGCCAGTTCACACACAAATCTATTTATGATTCTGTTAGCAGGGAAAATTCCTTATTTCTCAAGGCCTCCTAAATGACTAGGTAAACAAAGTACGTATCTGCTTATTTAACAATTCTCTATCCCCGTAAGAAGAAGATTACTTTGAAACTAATCAGGTACTGTTGCCACTCCATGGTGAGTGGGAAAAGAGCTGCCCTCCCATCAGCTCCGCTGTCTCTCCAGCACACATGCCACATGTTGTTCTCTTGTCACTGAGATCTGATTGCTGGGGAAGAAAACAAGACTGTTCTCTCTGGTTTGTTCTCTCTAGATTGATCTCTAACTAAATTACTGGATAGCCCAAACTGACACTATTAGAAGTTCCTCCAGTCTCTCTATAGACACCGCATTTGCTTTGACAGCATATGTACTCTTCTTACTTCATTTTACCTGTCATACAAGAAGCAAAGCCTTAAACTTCGTTGGCAACACTAGCAATTTCCTTGGCTTGCAGAGCAAATCATAGGGATCCCAGTTGCTTTCTGGGGCACTCAGTACCCTCCCCAGCACACACACCACTCACTTCAGGGCTGCACAGCAGCCATGGCAGATTCTTGATTTCATTTTTTCACTCATGCATGTACTAGGTATCAGCATGTGAAAAACTGCTACTGGGGCTAAGTGCTCATCATGCTACAACTATTACTGGCTGTCAGGTTCATCAGAGAGTGGGGTGGCTGCTTGGATTTGTCAAATAAGAGACATTTTAATGAATTTGGCTCTTTGGAGGGAACAAAGTGTCTATCCTGTCCATACACATTCATATACCTGCAGCAAAAAGACATTAATATGCATCAATCCTTTGGCAAATTACATGATCTGTAAGAGGGCTTTGAGGCATGTAGCACTTTCAAAATCCTTAGTTCTGCTCTCTCTCCTATCTGCATTTTGAATATGACGAGCAAATGCATGGAGCCCTTAGTCCCAAATGGTTTCAGTGACGTTTTTGGCTGAAGCAGTGCTCTTTGGCAGGATGATCAGGCAGCAGCACAGTCCAGGGATGTTGCCTATTACGTTTTTCAAGACTTGAATCACTGATGCTAATCCAAAATTGTTTGAGTTTTACATACAGACTGGCTGCCCCATAGGTTCTGTTGAGCTGTGACTACACCAGCTGCCAAATCTGTTGGTTTCATCCATGTCCACCCAGGTAATCATTTACAAAACTCATATTTAAAAAATCCAGGTGGCTCAAACCCAGCAAGTTTCTGGCAGCAACATGTGTGAATGGTTCTCTCTCTCCTGGCACATAAATGTTAACAGCTCAAGTGCCCACCAAATGTATATTTGTGCAGCACACATGGAAATGGTGAAAACTAACAGAGAGCAGAGGCAGTAGAGAAGGTAAGCAGACCAAAGAGCTGAGGCAACACTGCACAGAAACACATACCGGGGTGCTCTGTAGCACCAATTGGACATACATGCATGTTGCCAGAGAGAAATGTGTCACTTACAACTCACTAGGCTCCTCTCCGTGCTCCTGCAGGTAGCTGACTTGCTTTGCAGCACGGTCCTTCAGACATGTGAGGCTGCAAGCAGCTTGAACACAAGGGCTGTCTGCTCTGTCAGATCACAATGGTGTTGTCCTTGCAGCCTGCCTAGGTTCTCTCTGAAAAATCAACACACAATAGCACATAAAAAAACTAAAAGCAGCCTTCCCTTCCTCTCCCACATCTGGCAACTGTCCATCTAAATCTTCCAGCTGCTGATACATCTGTCCTCCAAGGGCTGTGCTACCACATCCAGCCACCAAGCCCCATTCCCTGCAGAGATCAGCTTTGTCCAGATAATGGATCATGCCTCAGGAAGAAAGCAGAGAGCACTTACGGCTTTCAACAAGAGTGCAGGGAGTTGTAAAACTAGTGGTTTAAGCATCTACAGAGGCACCTGCTTGGTTTTATGAGTGGTGCATTTATAAACTGCTCTGATTTCCTCTTGATGGACCGTCTTAATGTTAGCTACCCCCAGCCTGAGGCAAAGCAACAGCCTTCCTTCCCAGTCACAACAGAGAAGCTGATAGATCTGGATGACTTCATTCGATCAAGGCTGGGAGTGCTGCAGTCCAGCTTGCTGATGCTCATGAGCAGGAACATCACACAGCAGTGTCTCTGCTGGAAGGAGGCAGCTTCTCATATCAAGCCCTCTGTTATTTTCTCATTGGAAGAGGTTGCACACACAAAGGGAGCTATAAACCAAAGGCAAAAGGTGAGGATGCATGAAATCGAAACATTTCAAAGTTTGCTTATGTTGAGGCTATTGCTTTGTCTACTAGGCTGTAAAAGTTGGCTCAGCAGTTCTAGCTCCTCACTGTGGGTCCATCATCCAGCTGCGTCCTGAAAGTCGATTTGTTCCTTGAGCAGTTCTGTTGGGGTGAGTAGGGCCATGGACGTGCACGGTGCCACGCTGGATCTCAAGCTCCAGCCTCTGACTGCCATCACACTGAGCGAGGGTGTCCTGTAGGTCCCACGTCACATCTGCCAGCTCTGCACTGACATCTCAGGCAGACAAAGCTGCCTAAAAAGGCACCTGACATTGTCTGGGCACTGTGTGTGACTGTCTCTGCTACACTCACGCTGCTTTCAATAGGTACTCCCTGTAAAGCCACACAGTAAGGAGAACACCCCTCATCTCCTCACAGGGGATAGAATTAAACATCCTATCAAGTCACTCTACAAACTCAATATTCCAGGAATAACGAATGAACAATTTTGCATGAAAAGCTTATCGGATTATACTCATTTTCCACTGCAAATTATCCCGAAACAGACACGGCAGTAAATCTCCACAACGCTACGAATATTTCACACAAACACATCTCCCGCTATTGATATCTGGGTGGGTGTTTTTTTTCTGAATGACTCTGCCTGTGTCTGTGGCCGTTCCAGGTCTGAGACAGGAGCACCCCAGCCTCATTAAGGCTGCGATGCAACTCAAACCTAATGAGAAGCTGGGCAGATGGGACGTCTTGCAATGGATGCAGTTAGTGCAATATTTGTGGACAAACTCGGGAAAACAAAGCTCAAAAGCCTGATGTCATCAGTCCACGGGAGTCTGACACTGAAATACAGAGTTCTCGGTGAAATTAGCGCATAAGCTCCATTATCAATACCAGACAATTAGAAAAAAAAAAAACACACGAAGAGAACCCAACAAAACGTACAGCTGCCCTCAGCGCTGGGCCGGGCCTACAGCGCCGCGAACTACAGCTCCCACAAAGCCTTTCGCCCCGCCGCGCATGCGCCATAGTCCCGCTCACAGCACACGGCGGGCGAGGGGCCGCCCGCCTCCTCTCCCACCTCCCCCCCGCCTCCCGCCGCCGCCGGAGGAGGCGGTAGGGGCGGCGCGGCGCGGCGGGGCCGGCCGGGTGCAGCCGTCGGTGCCGCGAGCGGCAGGTGAGCGGGCGCGGCGGGGCCCGGCCGCAGGGGGGCGCTATGGCGCGGGGCGCCGCGGGCCGGGTTTCTCCTGCGGGCGGCTCTCGGGGGGAAGGCAGGAGGACGGGGCGGGCGTGCGGCGTGCCGCTCCTTCCGTGTAGCCGATCGGTGGGGAGGGGCAGAGGGAGAAGCCGACAGTGGGGTTGCACACGGCGAACTCGGAGGCGTGGATCGTGGAGAGTTTTCTGCTTCCAAGCCGGGAGCGAAAGTAGCCCGAGGGCTCGGCAGGGAGAGGGCGTTGATGAGCGCCTGGGGAGAGCGGCGTGCTCGGGACAGGCTTCCGTGGGAGCGATTACAGCCCTAATAACCTCCTTGGAGCTCAGGTGCAGCAGGGTTGGGCATACCGGGTCCAGCAAGGATGTAATTATGCTCTTGACAGTGTTCACCGGTGCCCGAGCGCCTCGGGAGTCCCTGTATACCTGCCTGCAGCTTCGTAAGCTCACCAGCCCTTCTAGGTTTGGCCCCAGCTAACGTGCACGCTGAATTCATTGCCTCCTGCCCCCTTTAAATACCGTGTGCTGACTAAGCATGGTGGGAAAGTTTTCACGGCGTGTGTCAGTGTGGGATGTGTTACACCTGCACGCTCTGAGGTCTGGCTCAGCGGTCTGCTTGTGGTCACTGCATCCCCTGGCTTTCTCCTGTCCCCTCTGGGTTAGCACAGTGCCTAAGTGTGCTGTGAGGATAATGGCTGCTGCCTCAGCAACGTGCGGAGACGCGCTCTGCTCTGGTGCTGATCATAATGACTGTATCTGAACAACTGGTGAACGCGAGGGAACATATTGGTGTTTTCACACCAGCTCCATAGTTGGATAACTATTGACAAATGCTGACTTTATCACGGTGATTGCTGATTCAGGAGGATCTGCTGAGTTTGGTAATATAGCAGTAACGGTGCCTTTTAATAGCAGTCTCCAACCCTTAAAACGGTTGAGCTGATGGATCGGCTTGTGTTAGCCTTCCTGAGCTGAGAAGCAGAAGAGCTCTCCTCTGGGACGACCTTCTCTCCCAAGCACATGGGATGTATGCTAACACGTTGGCTGAAAGACAGGGTGTTCATTTTGCAATGTCACTTTCCAAAGCGTGGTGGATACCAAATGCGGAGCTCAATATAGGATTCCTGCTTTGCAGTCTGCTTCCTTGCAGAAGCACAATGTGAACGGTTTGTGATTCCAAGGTGGCAGTTTTACTTGGTTTTCCCTTCGTGTTTAATTAAGTATCGTAAAAGCTGGCATTCGGCCAGTTTGTGAAGTGTGCTGTGAACACAACCCTGGGTACCCGGTTAATGTTTGGGGATTATTTACCTGGAGCCCACTATCTGTTAAGCAGTGCACAAAATGGAAGGAATACATGCAAGTCTTCTCCTGGTTATATTTTCAAGCTCACTGTGAACTTGTTGAGGTGCTCTTAAATCATCTGACGATTGGGCATTCTCGTTCTCATTGTTCTGCTATAAATGTTACTTTGAAGTCTTCCGTAAGCGCTGTTGGTTTGAACAGTCTGGTTGACAGCAGCCCATGTTCAGTTACTGTTCCCTAGGGTTTTCTTTCAGCAGATTTATATCTGGCTGGTGCTCTGACATAGAGAGGCCTTTGAGAAGTCTTTTAAAACATACAGTGTTAAGAGATCCTGCACTCATCGTTTTATTCAAATAAACAGAGCCATGGATAACTTCTCTCAGCAAAAGTCCTGTTTTCTGTTCAGCATGGCTTCTGCAACCAGAGCGTCTCCAGGTAGTGGAGGAGCAGATTTTCCTAGGAAGTAGTGGAGAGAGGCAGGAAGAATCGTGAAAAGGAAAGCAGTAAGCCACAGAGCTCAAACCCCATCACTGGTCAGAGGTTCTCAGCTGTGCAAACAGAATTTTGCCCTCTCTACTGTCGTCACCCAGGAGCACTGCAGAATTGAGACTTGTGGTTTGACATGGTGGGTTTGTGGGCTCATAAAGCTTGGGGACGTGTGGGCACGTCCACGCAGGGAAGGGTTGTAATGGACACAAATAATCATAGAATCACGGAATCATTAAGGTTGGAAAAGCCCTCTAAGATCATGTAGTCCAGCCACCAACATGTCCCCACCATGTCCACTGAGCACGTCCCTCAGTGCCACATCCACACGGTTCTTGAACACCTCCAGGGACGGTGACTGCCCCACCTCCCTGGGCAGCCTGTGCCTCACAGCTTTGCTGCCCTTCTCTGGACATGTTTCAGGGCCTCAGTGTCTCGTAGTGAGGGGCCCAAATCTGAACACAGCACTTGAGGTGCAGCCTCACCAATGCCAAGCACAGAGGGATGATCACCTCTCCGCTCCTGCTGGCTGTGCTATTTCTGATACGAGCCAGGATGCTGTTGGCCTTCTTTGCTGCCTGAGCACACTGCTGGCTCATGTGCAGCTGGCTGTCCTTTAGCACGCCCAGATCCTTTTCTTCGTGCATCTTTTCAGCCACTCTGCCCCATGTAGTGTTGCACGGGGTTGCTGTGATCAACATGTGGAACCCACACTTGGTCTTGTTAAAGCTCATATGGTTGGCCTCAGGCCATTGATCCAACCTGCCCAGATCCTTTGTAGGGCCTTCTTACCTTCAGGCAGATCAACAGTTCCTCCCAGCTTGTTGTCTTCTGCAAACTTACTGAGGGTGCACTCAATCCCCTTTTTCAGATCATCAATAAGATGAGATTTTAAACAGTACTGGCCTCAGTATTCATACCTGAGGAACAACATTCATGACCAGTCACCAGATGGATTTAACTCCATTCGCAATACTTCCTTCATTTTCTGCCCACCCTCCAGAGGCAGCAGTGCCTGAGGGACTTTGCCTAGTTGGCACAAAGTGCTGGCTGAGGGTCACTGGCTTGGCTTAGCCAGATGGATGCATGCCACAGGGACTCTTCTCTAGACCTCCTCCTCTTGCATTAGGACGTGCTCTTTCCTACATCATCAGCTCCCACGCCTCCTGCCTCCATCCTTGTAGCTGCCTCTCCCCTCCACGCATGCTGGTGTGAGCTGGCAGGTGTGAGGTGCGAGGGAAAGCAGGTTTCTTTCCTTACCCACTAAGCCTGCAGGCCGGCCTGGCTGTGCAGGCAGTGGAAAGGCGGCCGCTTGCATTCAGTCACGCAAGGCAGCCCTCAGCTCTGCCCGTGCTCGGAGCTGTGAGCAGGGCATTGAACTCAGCATGGTGGAATTTAAGCTGTGAGTTTTCAAAGCCAATTACTGGACACAGGCTGGGTCTGATGAGCTCGGGTTTCATTACCTGTCTCCTGGGAGTGCCGAGCCACACCACTCACCTTTGCGGAGATCAGATTCTCTTCTGTGATGCTATTAGATGTTTTCAAAAATAGCTTCATCAATCTGTTTTAAAAGAACTGGTCTGCTCTGATAACAGTGCCTGCTGGTGCTTCGCCAGATATGGGCTTGTCACTTTTCCTCCTGTCACACATGCAGCTTCTGTCCTATATAAAGAACAGCTTAAAAGAGACTGCAAAATGACCACCAGCCTAATGTAAAGATTTACTGTGTTTGTGCATATAATCTATAATTATTTCATTGCACACTGGGAAGCAACCAGACGAATAATACAAAACAGTTTCAATCTTTCTGTGGATCTGGAAAGTAGATGCATGTTTGTGCATTCCAGTAGTATGAGGAGGGAACTGCAGTTGCATGGCATACCTAGTAACTCCATTTATATTGGTATATGCAACAGCAATATTCTAATTTACTCATTTCTTTGATACTTTCTGAGCAGATGGTATTTTTGAAAAGGTCTATTAATTCTGTGAGAATTTGATAATGGCTAATTGCTGGGGGATCAGAAGTGAGCAGCAGTCAAAGCGAGCTCCTGACTCCTCTCTGCTCCGCAGCCTCATTTGTAAGCTGCTCTCCTCGCAGCAATCCTTGCTCTAGAGTATTCACCAGTGTCCTCAGCGTGAATTGGGGACTTGTTGATAGCTCTTGATTAATTGAACTGCGCTCCATGAACGAGTCACATGCTATCACAGGGAAGAGTGCGGGGAAGGTCACATCCTGTAGGACCAAGTACATGGGGAATTTTCATCAGAGAGCCCTTTACTCTTTGCCTCTTCATCGCTTGCTTCTCATTTCTCCTTTTCATTTTCCTTTCTGTTCCTCTCTCTGTCACCTTGCCTTTCACTTAGGTCTGTTCATGTTCTTTGAGCGCCTGCCTGAGTGTTTGTAGCAGGGGTCACAAGTGCTCTGACATCAAAGGATCGCGTTTCAAAATTACAACTTTTCCTTTGAACAAGGAGGAAAAAAGGCTCCTGGTTACTATGGTGATGAGCGCTACAGAAGTGCCTATAAATAAATAACGTAAACAGCTGATTGTTGGACTTTGGTTGGCAGTATTTTCGCTTTGCTAATCAGATAATTAAATATCAAAATAGAAGGAGGTGATATTTCACCAGTTTTATTACACAGATACTGTTTTTATGCCTTCACCTTTACAGTGCTCCTGCTGAAAACATTTAAATGGCATTTTGTTTTGTTCTACCTCTAGAAATTTGATGTTTTGGAAAATCTTAGTCCAGTATTTATGGAAAAACTTCCCAGCGTTAAAAAGGTGGTATCCATTTTACGTTTAATCAGAACATACACTTTGGGCTAAATGCCTGTTCTTATCTCTAAGAAACTATTATATGTTGTCACAACACTTATATTCCATTCTGGAGTGTCAGAAAATGTAATTATGTTCCTCTGCAGTATTTGAAACCCCACCAGTATACAACAGCAAAACTTAAAAAGTGTATAATGGAAATAAATTCTTTAGGGGAAAGAAGATAGTTGTTTCAAATACACAAAAATAGGTACTTGACTAAATGCCTTTTACTTCAGAGCTTGTATAACTGTGAGCACAGGGATGCTTCATATTTTTTTCCCCAGTTAAACACAGTTGCTTTTCTAAGAGCAAAATATACATTTGCAGTGTGTAATGAAGGCAGGGGAAGAGCTGG